TGGAGAAAGTGGTTGTAGGGCGGAAAATAATTCATTACCCACAAGGCCACATAGATGCTTTTCAATACTTTCAAGACAGGCAAGTGAGGACTGGGCAGCTCCAGCCCTGACATGGCAGCAATACTCCATTTTTGGGGTCTGATCTGGCTCTTGTAAGAATAGAGTATTGAAAGGAGAATCAGATACTTACTAGAATGGTACAATGAACCAACCATCTTTTTCCAGCATATTCAGCAATAGATTGGATATACAAGTTCCACTTGAGGTCTGGCGAGAGTCTGAATCTCAACAGATGTTCAAGGCAAGGATCCTCCTTGAGAGAGGACACATGTATCATTCCACCATCTTTAGCTATAGATTGGATATACGAGTTCCATTTGAGGTCTGGCAAGAGCTTGAGTCTCAACCGATGTTCAAGACAAGGAGCCTCCTTAAAAGAAAACCCATCCATCATGGTGGGGAAGGTTCAGGGTCTACTCAGTAGGGAATATCAAAGAATTATTTTTAAGTAGCTCCACAAATAGTTCTTATTTTTAGATATCTAATTCTTGTTATATTTCTTTTATTATTATCATAGAATAATCTTCATTTATAAGAAAATCAATGCTTAAAATTAAACAACTTGATTAATAGGTTCTTTAAATTTTTTTTTACGAAGGCCCACGAGCCACTCAAAGTAGAGGGTTACTATCTTGTGTTAAGTAAGGGCAAGAAATAAAGTTCTTGAGGCAAATTCTACACTTTAAGAGATCAAGATTTAATTACTGAATAACATTTCAGAGCCATAAGAAATATAGAGTTGAAGCTGATTTTAGAAGGAACCCAAGCCCAATTCTAAACAGGAAACAAGGGATAAACCTCTACTCCTGTTCAAAAGACTGACCTTGTTCAAAGGATTCAAGCATTTTACATATAAAGAAGACTGAGAAATAATTTAATAGGAGTAAATAGGTTTGTCTATCATCTGGTTCACACTCTTACTCGGTCTTTTGTACAGGAGTAGAGGTTTATTCCTTGTTTCCTGTTTAGGATTGGCTTTCTAGTTCCTTTTAAAGTCTTCTTCACTTTCATTCCCAGTAGCCCTTTGCATCTTAGCGAACTTGCTTAGGGTGAATTAATTAAAAACAACTTATAAACTGAACAACAGAAAGAAGGGTTCTTTTTCGTGTCTAATATTTGTAAAATCCACAATCTCAACAGTATTCACTTATGTCTAACCCGGTTTGAAAATATGATTAGGATGAAATACTGCATTCCTAATCCAAATGAAAATTAAATAATAATGGTAATTATCATAACATGAAAATAATTATAATTGCCAAGGAATAATAAAAATAATTTGTGGCAAAGTGGAGAGAAAAGAATAAAATCAGAAATATTTGCAGTACATCCAGACTGCTGAGAGTATTTTTTCCAACTTGACAATACTCAACTCTCTTTCCGGTACAAAAGAGGTTTATTGCTTCTGCACTGTTTAGAACTGAGTTTCCGGTTCCTTCTAAAGACTTCCCATTCTCTTTCACTCCCAGTAGATTTTTTGCGTCTTAGTGACACTATCACCTTGCTTGGGGTGAATTGATTTAAAAAAAAAAAAAAAAAAAATTTGACACTGGGATACAGTGAGTCACCTACCTGCATGGATGACAAAACAGAGCCTGGGAGGGATAGTAAAAAGACAACCATTACTTAAATCTACAAAAGATAGGAAAGTGTGGAGAGACATGATCAGCCATGTCTTGAATGGATACGGCATATAAAAGAAAACTCATCTGGTGCCTGCTGGTGAAATATCAATTAGTGTCAAGTTATATTGGTACATATTAAATCATTGTCTGTATGGATGTGTCTGTTCTCATATACATGGTGCATTAAATAAGTTTAGGTGTAAATGATTCTTTTGAAAACTCTTCATGATCCTGTCTTTTTCTATTATTTTCAGAAAGTTAACTTTACTAAATTTATTACAAAAATATTTGAAAAAAAAAAAAAAAAGAGTGCTTTAGCAGATTAATCTTAAAATTGGCATTGGGCTAAATGTAGTATTACTACATATATATATATATATATATATATATGAAGAAAAATATATGGAAAAACAAACAAAAATCCTAATATGCAATTATGCTGTTTTAATGTTAATATAATGGATTGGTCCATCGTCTTTTTCATGTTGAATTGAATATGGTCTAATGTTAATTATGTTTTATGAATATGCCCTGAAGATGGTCTATTAGACCGAAACGTCCGACGTTGATATTATATTAACATTAAAACAGCAGAATTGCACATTAGGATTTTTGTTTGTTTTTTCCGTATATTTTTCTTCATACTGTTGGATCTATATCCATATATTTGCTTATATATATATATATATATATATATATATATATATATACACACATACACACACAATGGTCATTCAAAAGTTCTAAACCTCAACCAGATAAAAACTTATAAGCTGATCAAATAAAGGTGGGGTGCTTTTTCTTGTTTAATATATGTAAAAATACACAAGCAGGAGAACACAGTCATGGCTGTCAGACAATTTCTGCGACTATATCACCCCTTACATCTGGCCACCTAACTCCCCAAACTGCAACCCCCTTGATTATTATGTGTGGGGTGCAGTTCAGTGAGAGACCAACAAAACTCCTTGTAACACTAAAGATGAACTGAAGGCAAGGATTATGGCAGTATTCACCAACTTAAACAAGGAGGCCGTCCAGAAGAGTTGCAGGAGATTCTGAAGTCGTCTGGAGGCTGTGGGTGACGCCAATGGTGATATTATTGGATAAATTTACTCTGTAGTATTTAAAGATATTTTTGTGTGATTTTGGCAAATATATCTATTAAAATGAGATGTCAGTGTTATCTTTCATTTTTTGCATAATTTAGACGACAATTTATTCATCGCACCATATATATATATATATATATATATATATATATATATATATATATATGATAAGTTTAATAACATTATTGTTGAACAAAGAAAGAAATTCACAATATTAATCCATTTTTTTTTTTAATACAATCTAAGCTTTCGGCTTACATAAGCCATTATCAAAGATGTCAATTACAACATATTAAGCAATATACGGACACGACAGTGATGATAGTCTGTCATTATTTACATAGATGATTTCTAAGCAACGATAAAAACGTGCATATAAGACGCTAGAAGCGAAAATTGCACCGCATCTCATGACGTCACACATGACCACATGAGAGTGAATTGTAGAAGTATAATTGGTAACAGAAGCCATTGATTTATACCAACAGCTTCCCATACTTCTCCAACTTCGTTCAACAATAATGTTATTAAACTTATCAGACGTTACGAAAAAAATTTATATAAAATAGACAACACTTGTCTATATTATTTAATGAAACGTGCATGAAAAAATATATATATATTATATTATATATATGACAAAAAGTCATAACCCTTATATATATATATATATATATATATATATATATATATATATATATATAGGTCTAAAGACCACATTGAAAAATGAAACTGACAGTCACTATATAGTACTGATTCCAATGTCTTCAAAAATCTATACATTGTGTCTAAAAAGTAGCTTACCTATTTTTAATATTTTAGAGAAAATCTGACTGTGCCATACATATTAAATACATATCAAATTTTAAGCACCCTGTGCATGAATCATTTCTTTCTTACTGATATACAAAAGCATTGTTAAAAGAAGTTTAAAAAAAAAAGTAAGGTTCACCCTGTACAACACCGAGGGGGTGCACTTGATACAGAGGGTTACATTAAGGTGTAATTTATATGGATAGGAGGGGAAGTTAACGTTAACTCTAGCCTTGAACAGGTTAAGATTGTAGTGGTCAAGGAAACATCCTCTTGGCAGTCTGTTCCACAGGGCAGTAGTTCACCGGAAAAAGCTGTTTGAGTGGAACTTACTTCTTACCAATGGTTTACGAAGGAAATATAGGTGGTTTGCTACCATGTAAGTGGTATGGCAGGTCCTAGCTGTGAAGGTTGGACTGGGTGGAACCAAGGAATTTTGTTCATCCAAGCACTTTCTATAGGGAAATCTTAAAAGTGTTGCTAGAGTTTAATGAACTCTTCATTGCTTGTGGGATCAACTGTCATATGCTTTTTATAAAGCTTAAGAAAATTTCATAAGCTAAGAAACTGACATCCATTTGAAATTAACAAATATCAGCCTTGAAAGATTTAACATTTTTTCATTGTTAGTTACAAGTGTAGGTATAGGATCTATGTCAGGTAATATCTAAGGTCTGAATGAAATTTAATGTCAATCAGGGACAGTGATCTAAGAAGAGTCTAATATCAAAAGATCTGGGTGACAGAAACAGTTAACTTAGAGGGTGACCTGAAGGCCACAAAGTGCAGACTAGGGCCTCGAATGATGTCAGTGGGTGCATCAACATAAACAAGGAAGTGAACACAGCTGACCTTAGGCTAGACACACATATGATAACCGGTTGACAGGAAGTTATATAAATGCCCAAACTATGACGGGGCGAAAGAGAACCTGTAATGCCTTTGAAAGAAAGATCCAAAAGTGCATACCCTTAATTCAGTCAATGTTAATTTGATGGAGTTCTGAAATGAATAAACATTTTTTTTTTTACATATCAAAAATTCAATCTTATATTCTTATCAGATGCTATTAATAATACGCTAGTGTTGAAAAATGAAGAAAATCATGGCTAGATCTGGAATGATTCATTAAAAAAGAAACGACATTTTGTTTCGACAGGGAAGTTCTGCATGAAAACAACCATCTTCAAGTTGCAAATGCAATAGGAAGTTGTTCTGTATACGGCATATTTTTCTAGAGGATTGTCTTGCTCCAAGCAACATTATCTTGTCAGCATTTATATTGTAGAATTCACTGAATCAAACCTGGAATTTTTCTTTTATGATCAAATAAAGAATTCAGCTGAAAGATCACAGAGAAACCAGGATAATACTTTGATGATCAAGTGACTGATGATCAATGAAAGAAATTGAAAAAGAATAAAGAGAAAAAGAAAAAAGAAAAAAAAGAAAAGAAAAAAGACAAAGACAAAAAAGAAAAGAAAAAAGACAAAAAAGAAAAAAAGACAAAAAGTCAAAAAAGACACAAAACAAACAAAAGAGGAAAAAAACAAAAGAGAAAAAAACAAGAGAAAAAAAGACAAAAAAGAAAAGACAAAAAAGAAAAAAAGACAAAAAAGACACAAAAAAAGACAAAAGAGGAAAAAAACAAGAGAAAAAAACAAAAAAGAAAAAAAGACAAAAAAGAAAAGAAAAAAGACAAAAAAGAAAAAAAAGACAAAAAAGAAAAAGACACAAAAAAACAAAAGACAAAAAAGAAAGACACAAAAAAACAAAAGACAAAAAAGAAAGACACAAAAAACAAAAGAGAAAAAAAGACAAAAGAGAAAAAAAGACAAAAGAGAAAAAAAGACAAAAAAGAAAAAAAAGACAAAAAAGAAAAAAAGACAAAAAAGACAAAAAAGAAAAAAGACAAAAAAGAAAAAAAAAAAAGAAAAAAGAGTAAAAAGGGAAAAAATGCAAAAAAGAAAAAGGGGAGGAAGACAAAAAAATAGGGGAAAAAAAAGAAAAAGGACAAAAAAAGAAATAAGGAAAGGAAAATGAAGAAAAAAGGAAAACAAAATAGGATTAAAAAGAAACAAAGAAAAAAGGAAAAAAATAAAAAAGGAAGAAAGAAGGAAAAAAGAAGCAAAAAAAGGAAAGAAAAAAAAGCTTATATATGACAATTACCTCTTCAAATTAGTGAGAAAGTCCTCATTTTCTTCAAGTAATAAAATATTATTCCAGAGAATTTCTAAATATTCATCCCAGGTCATAGATGTCAGCAGTAAGTAAATAATTCTATGACCAATACATCTTATACAACGGTATGACGGAGTAAGATTTCATTTTCATGCAGTCCATTTTCTGAAACATTAATGGGCTGATTAAAGAGTAAAGGATTCATGTTGCATGTACCTGCCGAGGAACAGGTGTATAGAAGACATTCGAATAAAAGGTGAAGAAGGACAGGGTTATCTGTGCTCATTCCTTTGGGAATACACACTCGGACTGTTGGCTGTTTAGATAAATCCGACAATGTCCCGCTTGTAACAGGAATTTCTTCAAGAAGTTTTTTACTGGGTTCATCTGACAAGGAAAATACAAAGAGAGCAAAAGATAAGCAAATATACATTTGCATAAAACAGAAAAAATGAAGAAATGATACTATTTATATTTGGACTATTGTCCTCACCTTTGTTGTTTTCATCACAATGTTTCGGCTATTGTGCCTTCCTGATGAAGGCCAAAGGGCACAACAGCCAAAACATTGTGATAAAAACAACAAAGATGGGGATAATAGTTTGAATATAAATACTGCAAATAACACCTAATCCCAGAAAATCAGACAAAAATTTTAAAATTACATTCTCAGATCAACGTCTCTCAAATCATCTAATTTAATACTCACCATAAAAAATGGTTATTCTAAAAATCTAAATTAAAAAACAATATTATTTAAAAAAAATAAAAGTAAAAGAAATCCAGTATTAATCATTGCCTTATAAAATAAATCATAAATTATAAAATAAAATGAAATAAATCCAGTATTAATTATTGCCTTATAAAATAAATCATTGCCTTATAAAATAAAATGAAATAAATCCAGTATTAATCATTGCCTTATAAAATAAAATGAAATAAATCCAGTATTAATCATTGCCTTATAAAATAAATCATAAATTATAAAATAAAAAGGAATAAATCCAGCATTAATTATTGCCTTATAAAACATCCAGTTTGATTAGTTTAATAAAAAAAATATATATAAATATATATGCAATATTAATTATCACTTTCTTAAAAGAAATTGGCATTAATTATAGGTTTATATAAAAAAAAAGTTGGTATTTCCATCTGTTTCTATTTCCGAGATGAAGTATTGTAACTATTTACATTGTTGTCCTTATCTTTATAGACACATTCACAATGTTCCATCCATTGTATGCTCAGGTCATTTTCAGGTGATATTTCTTAGAATTTCAAACCAAACTCTTTATTTAATCCATGGAGTTAAATTGTTCTAATTCTACATGTCTTTGATTATCTCATTTATTCCCCTTGATAACCCAACTCTCCAAGTTTTTGTACTCTCTGCTCTGGCCAGGGATTGAACTAACAACTTTTTGGGTCAAGTCACTTTTACTTCAAAAGTTATCAAGCATAAAAGACTGTTACCCACTGTGCTGACATATATATATATATATATATATATATATATATATATATATATATATATATATATATATATTCCTAGCATCAACTTGACAATTGGAATGAGACTATGGATTTAATTTTTATAATTAAATTTATAAATTTAGTTTCACTTTTGAAACATGTAAATTTTCTGTGTCACAATGAAATCATATTTTTAAAAAGAAAATAATTATAATATTTTGCTCTACAGTTTGTATCGAGTACTGTTTTTTTTTTTTAAATAATTGCTAAGAATACCGGATTATAAATCTTAATGTTCTTTCTTATTATTTTTATATATATATATATATATATATATATATATATATTTTTTACAGCAAAAAACAAAAATTACCTCAACATAGACAATTTTCAGCTGTTCTATATATGGCTATCATCAGTCTCTAAGTAAAAAAAAATACATGTACTCTGTTAAAATAAATACATCAAGCTCTCTGTGGATTAGTTTTAACAATTAATATTACTAGGATCCACCCAGATTATATACTAACGGATTGATTACCTGTACTATATATATATATATATATATATATATAAAATAATGCTTGACATATTCTAGTGAAGGCTTTTTGGGTAAACATGGATCTTTTTGACCCCCCAAAAAAACAAAGTGTCAATCTTTGGCAATGTTAACTGTTTTAAAAAGCGATGATTAGAATTGTAATAAACCTAACCATATGATGAATGTAAATTTATATATTTTCTTTGTTCTTGACAATTGACACCAAAAATAATAAATACTATTTGTTTACTGGAATGTTTGAGAAAACATTGGCTAATTGCCAATTAATTCAAACTTTATGAAATAATAAATAATACAAATTTCCTCATACTTGGTTCATATATTTTAATAATTTAGTAAATCTTTATATATTTATCAATACAAAATTTCTTTATGAACATGCATTAGTTTTAATTGTATTAGGTTTCAGAATGTTTTAAATATAACGTTATTCTTGTAAAAATAATGTTTAAGAATTTTCTTGTAAATTCTCAAGAACAAAAAAAATGTTTAAATTCACTTTCATCATGTTTAGGTTGGTTTGGTTTGTTTTGTTTTATGGCTTATCAATATCAATGTGTTAATTAATGCTGACAAGATTTTTATTGCTGGTAATATTTTTGCTCAAAAATGTATTGCTGCTAATATTTTTTTTTTTTCAAAAATGTATTGCTGCTAATATTTTTTTTCTTCAAAAATGTATTGCTGCTAATATTTTTTTTTTCAAAAATGTACTGCTGCTAATATTTTTTTTTTTCAAAAATGTACTGCTGCTAATATTTTTTTTTTTCCAAAAATGTATTGCTGCTGATATTTTTTTTTCAAAAATGTATTGCTGTAATATTTCTTTTTTCTTCAAAAATGTATTACTGCTAATTTTTTTTTTTTCAAAAATGTATTGCTGTAATATTTTTTTTTTTCAAAAATGTATTGCTGCTAATATTTTTTTTTTTCAAAAATGTATTGCTGCTAATATTTTTTTTTTTTTCAAAAATGTATTGCTGCTAATTTTTTTTTTTCAAAAATGTATTGCTGCTAATATTTTTTTTTTTTCAAAATGTACTGCTGCTAATATTTTTTTTTTTTTTTCAAAATGTACTGCTGCTAATATTTTTTTTCAAAAATGTACTGCTGCTAATAAAATTTTTTTTTTTTTTTTTTTTCAAAATGTATTGCTGCTAATATTTTTTTTTTTCAAAAATGTATTGCTGCTAATTTTTTTTTTTTTTCAAAATGTATTGTTGCTAATTTTTTTTTTTTCAAAATGTATTGCTGCTAATATTTTTTTTTTTTTTTTTCAAAAATGTATTGCTGCTAATATTTTTTTTTTTTTTCAAAAATGTATTGTTGCTAATATATTTTTTTTTTTCAAAAATGTATTGCTGCTAACAATTTTTTCCTTTGTTGGTAATATTTTTTAACAAAAATGTATTGCTGGTATTAAGACTTGTTTTTACACTTTCATAATGTTTTGACCCCAGTTTGGGGGTTAACTATTTGCCCATAGCTTGAACCCTAACAGGTACTACCACCCCAGGTTAGGTTGAACCTGGGAACACCAGCAATTAAAAGTAGTTCCATACTCCCCAAAACCTCCTGAACAGAGGCCTTGCTGTTGGATGTCTTACCCAGGACAGCATGTGTTTAGGTTTATTACAGTTCTAATCATTAGTTTTTAAAACAATAAATATTGCCAAAGATGGAATGTAGTTAAAATAAAAGCAGTCTCTTAGGAAAAACCATTCTTTTGACACACTGTATTTTGTCACACATGAAGGTCCACGTTTTCCATTTTTGTTTTGCAGCACAACAGTTTTTTTTTCACAACTATGTATATTTACATTTAATAATAGCAATTCAAATGGATATGTGAAAACAACGAGAGGAAAGATTAACACTGACAAATTTGAATTGGTAAATTACCAAACTGATATGAAGAGGTTTGGTTAATGGCATATCAACTTCTTATGGGTCATTTGATGCAGACATTTTATTTTCTTGTGAACTATGGTAATTTCTTTTTCTAAAAATGTATTGCTAGTAACTTTTTTTTTTATTTTCCAATAATGTATTGTTTGTAATTTTTTTCACTATTAAAATGTATTGCTGGTAATTTTTGTTTAATTTCCAATAATTTATTGCTGGTAACTTTTTTATTTTTCAATAATGCACCACTGGTAACTTTTTATTTTTTTGTTTTAATATGAAAATGTATTGCTGGTAATTTTTTAATTTAAAAATTTTTTTTTATACTATGAAAATCTATTACTGGTAATTTTTTGTAATGTATTTTTATATTTTCATGTTGTGACCCCATTTTGGGGGTTTGCTATAGCTGGGACCCTAACAGATGTTACCACACTGAATCAGGGTAAACCTGAGAACAACAGCAATAAAGAGATGGTTCCATACTCCTCAAAACCTTCAATCTTCCTATCAGAGGCCTTGTTGCTGGATGTAATTTATTGTCAAGCCCAGAAAGCAATATGAGGAGGTAGAACATACTTTCAGATCAATTCCAACATCGGTCAGGCAATAAAGATTAAATTTGGATTGGCAAACAGATTACAGTTTTCATGACCACAGAAATCTTCCTAGCAAATCTTGTTTCATACCATTAATTCACAATATACAAAAATAGACATGACATGAAATTCCTGGGAGTCAAATAGCTTTGGTTTTACAAATTTTAACATTTTTCCCCCAAATGCTAATTTGTAAAACCTAAGCTGATTGGTCGTTAGGTTAGGTTTAAATGTAGTTAATCTTTGATGTTTATATAATTTATTACATAACATCTGGGCTTTGCTGGATTTTTTTTTTTTGGCATTTTAGTTGTTTTGCACATTTCTTGTCCTTGATTGTACACTAATGAGAGCATCGATATACTGGTTCGGGTGCTTTTTCATTGTTTTTCTATTTTGATATGACCAATTTATGATAAGGTATAAAGTTTTTTTTGCTCTTCCTTTCCTATTTACAATATTTACATTCAAATTATTGTCCTCATCTTTGTTGTTGTTGTTTTGGGCATTGTGCCCGTCAGTCTTCATCAGGTGTATATTGATCTAGGTAACCTAGAGATAAAACCAAAATGTACCCTTTATTCAATTTATGGGTGTAGACTGTTCTCATTCCACTACTCATGTCTAAGGATATCTCATCTAGTTCTTACTTTTAGAACTGCTCACTTATTGCTTGCTCTGTTATCACTGAGTCCAAGTACACACTGCCCAACCCAGGGATTGAACTCACAATTATCATGTTACCAAATTCACAAACCAATACTTTAATCCACTAGGCTATTGTGATCAGCTGAGTCTGTCATGGGTCTTAATCAATAGAATCCATAATAGTCCTTAACAGATTTATTTTTTCCTTAAACATAATTTAATGTCCTTTAAGGAACCAATAAATTGTGCTGGAAGTTTCATTGTCAATAAGATTTTTATTTTTTTTTTAATGATAGCAAGAACTGTTGTTGCTTTTCCCTTAAAAATGTTTTAATCATTTCCATCTATTTCATTTCTTTTAAGGAAATTCCCAATGTTTTTAATATTAATACATCATCATAATATATCAGAGAGATATTCAACAAAGTGATAACTGTTTAAGAAATCAATTGAGTCTATAATGGATCTTAATCACTCTGTATGTAACTTCATTTGCTGTACAAGAAGTTTATCCTGATTCCTGAATTTGAATCTCATAGTTGTATTGTCATATCCTGCTATGGCAACAGAAAACAACTGGAGTGAAATTAACAATAACGATATTGCAATTGAGAAGCATTTAAAAAGAACATAGTGAAGTAATATTAATAATACAGAGTGCCAAATGTTTGCTTCAGTGATCATACCTATTCTCTTCAGGCTGATAGGCCCCTGTCTGTCCATAGCCAGGAGGAGAAGAGATGGATTCATACCTTTCCCAAGGTACATTAGTGAATATGACAAACTCTACTGGAATGCAAACATAGTTCTCTCTTCCAAGGTGCTATCCATGAAACAACCGTGTATCAAAATGTTACTTTTATATTTTTAGTGTTTTACTTGTGTGTTAGTGAAATGCAAATTTGCATATTTTTTTTCATTGCTTTTGTAGTCCATTACCATATTAACCTTTATCACTGTATGTAACTTCATTTTCTGTACAAATATTTTATCCTGCCACTGATGGTGACTCTAATCCCTGAACAATAGTGCACTTGAATTTCATAGTTGTATTGTCATATCCTTCTATGGCAACAGAAAACAACTTTGAGGGAAATTAACAATAACGATACTGCAATTGAGAAGTTTTTAAAAAGAACGCAGTGGAAAGGAAAGTAATATTAATAATACAGAGTGCTAACGGTTAATTAGTAGAGTCCATAACAGGTTTAAATTAGTAGAGTCAATAATGAGCATTAATTAGTAGAGTCCATAATGGGCATTAATTAGTAGAGTACATAACAGGTCTTAATTAACAGAGTCTGTAATATTTGTGAAACTTGAAGCTGGGAAGATAAGTCTTTTGAACTTTGCCTTAATAAAAATACCCCTGTAGTTATTAGAACTACAGGGGTATTTTTCAATGTGCCCAAGTTGCCACTGAATGTGACATAAGGTCAAGGTAAATGCTATGGTGATTTTTCTAAGCCTTGCTTATATGTGACACAAGGCCAAAAGTATGGCGCCTCCAGTGAGAACCAAACTCACTTTTCATTCATAACTGATCTAGCGAGACATGTCTGCTAACCTATTATATCATGTTGAAGGGCCCTTAATCTAATAACGACAGGAGATGCAATATATGAAAATCAACTGGATGTTCCACATATTCCATGTTACATACTTCAGCAGGTCACTAGGATATTGTCTAAATATCTGTATCCTTCAAATTGTTGTAACATCATTGTTTGATTAATAATTTGTATGAAAGGATATTTCACATGTACTTAAGCGACCATTGAGTGTGTGTATATATTTATTTTTTCATTATACTCCATGAATAAAGTATGTGAGTGAGTCAGGCCACCTTCTCATGTGTGTGTGTATGCATATATATATATATATATATATATATATATATATACAAATACTATAAGCAGAGACTCAGGGTACTTCAGCTGTTACTACCATCTGAGTGGTAACATGGTTGTAGATTTTAAATGTTTCGCCTCCATGACTACTAAACCATCTGTTTCACAATAAAATTTTTGTTGCAATGTCTGGTGATGGGATAGGAAACTAGATGTGGTTTCATGCCTTTCCTAACAATAATAGTGCAAAACAAGCAAAAAGCTTCTACGTGAATTTGAACTCAAACTCCCGATTCTAACTTTTGTAATAACGAGCATCACATGACTTCACACCCCACCCTCCATTATTATAAAAGATGGAGAACTAACCTTCAGCTATGATCTGCCAATAACTGACCATGTCTTTGGTGAAGCAGATGCCATCTTTGAAGCTGATGTCCAATTTAAACTGTATCCAACCAGATGGCATGACATTGACCGTTTCAAGCACCTTGGGTTTGGTCCTTTTCGGAGTGATTCGGTTGGTGGGCTTGACCACAGACTTTACTACATCACTTACGCCATCAAATAAATCTTTAGAAAAAGAAAGCTGTTGGAATGAGAAAAAAAAAAAAGAATCATTAAAAATTATGGTGACAGAATCATTAATATATTGTGCTGGTGATAACATTTTATATCTGTCCAGATCATTCTCCAGATGTCTGTACATTTGTTATCTCTAACTTTTTCTTATACTAAAGTAAGTAATTATATAAAAGAACTAGTGAACGTTGTCTCGATTTCAATGTCTAATCCAGAGATAGCCTGGTAAGTGACAATATCCATTATGCTAGTTTGAACATAGGATAAAATTAATATGCAAGTCATAAGTTAAGCAGAGCACCTCAGATACATAGGGCTCAGGATCGACATGCAGAAAGCACAGATAATACACGAATCCATGGTATATGGCTGTAAATCAGCATTGATCCTAGGCTTATTGCACTAATCCTGACGTCATTTGATTTGTTTTTTATGGCTTTTCAACCTTTTGCAGTCAGCAAATACATTTAGATTGTCAAAAGTTCTTTTGGTGATAATAATGATTCACTGATACAAGTTCTATTAATTAACCCATAGCTGGAGACACAAGAGGTGGATTCATACCTTTCCCAATTACATTTGCACATAAGTGAATATAACAAACCAGACTGGAATTGAAACTCAGTTTTCCAATTTCCTATTCCAAGCCATTACACCACCCTCACATCCAAGCTTACAAAACCTAGTATTTCCAAGTGGTTGCCCATTTAGGTACTGACCAGTCTCATCAATGCTTAACTTCAGTGATTGTACAAGAACTTATATTTCAACACTTTGCTGTAAAAGAAGAACATTGGTATAAGGCCATATTATTGGAGCACCTAGTGAGAAAAAACTCACTGTCAATATTTGTTGAATCAAATTAACAATAGCACAATGCCTTATTTATAAAGAATCCAGTTATGGTTTTGAAGGCAACAGTTGTGACAAAAAAAACAATTTTGCACAAGATTCATGGTGTACTAAGTAATGAATTCACTACCAATGACTTGCAAAACTAGTAATTTCTTCAAGGTTCTAAACCAGATACTTCCTAATTGGAATTTCAAAAAACTCCCTCCAGAATAAATGCTTTTTTCACAACCCCACTCTATAAAGACTGTGTTCTCCAATATCCTGCACTATATGGAATGCTTTTTCCAAAATTCCCCTCCATAAAGAATGTGTTCTCCAAAAATTTTCCTCCCATAAAGAATGCTTTTAACAAATTTTCCCACCATAAGGAACACTCTTTTCAAAATTCTCCTCCATAAGGAACACTCTTTTCAAAATTCTCCTCCATAAGGAACACTCTTTTCAAAATTCTCCTCCATAAGGAACACTCTTTTCAAAATTCTCCTCCATAAGGAATGTTTTTTCAAAATCACCTTCCATAAATAATGCTTTTTCCAAAATCCCTGTCCATAAGGAATGCCCTTTCCAAAACCCACCTCCATAAAAAATGTGTTATCCCAAATGCATAAGGAATGCATTTTCAAAAATCTCCCTCCATAAAGAATGCATTTTCATAAAATCCCCTTCCATAAAGAATGCATTTTCAAAAATCCTCTTCTACAAAGAATATGTTGTCCAAAATTCCCCGTATAAAGAATACTTACCTCAGTCAAGGTGCGCGTGTTCATATTAAATACTTTAATACAATGGTTGTTTGTATCAGCAATGTATACCACTTGTTTGTCCATGTCTACAGCCAGACCAGCTGGTTCATTAAAGAGAGACATGTATGGGTCAACACAGATGTCATCCCCTGGCTGACCACTTCCAATCACTGTAGTACAATTCTTTGTCTGCAGATCTACACACTTTATCTGCAAAGGCAAAAAAACAAAGAAACTGGTAACAGTCATGACACAGACATATTTTAAATAGGGATTAGGATCATGATTATGACAGACAAATTTTAAATAGGGATTAGGATCATGATTTCAGCATTATGGCCCACTAACATGTCATGGCTTTGCAAATACAAATTTGAAAGGATTGTTAATACTTGTTGCAGGCTCTTAAGTCGATCTGTGAGACTCAAATAAAAGAAAAAATGATTTTCCAGTAGCTGGCAGATTGATTTGATTTTTACTGTTAATCAACCCTTTGTGGGTCATTTAAAGCTGAAGCATATTTGAGGCTGTAAGAATAATGGCGGGCAACAATGTTTTCTTTCAAATACAAGTTACTATTTAACCCATAACTGAGGGGAAGAGATAGATCCATACCTTTTCCCAGTGGGAAAAGGAAAATAACAAAACCAACTGGGATTCAAACTCAATTCTTCAATTTCTCATTTTTAACCACTATCCAGTGCCACACACACAGATCCAGGCTCTGGTCTTACAGAAATGATTCCTTTCTTTATTCTTAAAATATTTTTCCATTCAAGTTCAGATTGGAAATCTACTTTTATGATGGCACTCTCAAAAAAAAAAAAAAGAAGTCAATTTACTTTCAGTTTGGAGACAGTATTTTGTTTACTGACATATCAACACCTCTATGGGTATTTAATGCCAAAATCTAAATATTTTGAAAGCAATTTTATGTGGACCTAGGAACAACAGTAATTAAGAGGTGGTTTCACATTCCTTAGAAACAAAGAAAACAGTACTGAACTATTATGTAATATCACTCCTTCTGTATAATAGTGAATGTGGAACAATCTCTCCACAGATGAAGAGGAGACCTGAGGCAGCAGAAATGTGGGTCTACAGGAGGATAACATAGACTGAACATGTGAGCAACAACAAAGTTTTAGAAAAAATAGAAACAAAAAGAAAATTATACTTAACAGTATCCTTAGGCGATTTTTATCAATTCATAAAAATCACCTGAGGATATTGTAAGTTTGAAACCAAGGTAGCAGATTCAACTGACCACCTGATTTTTTAAGTTAATAGCTGTACATGTTATATTTACTTTTATTTTATTTTTTTCACATGTGTATTGAGCACTTTTTAATACCACTGTTTTTTGGTCTGATTCAACTCTGACCATTATATATGACTTACCTTATGATTATATGTATCTGCTACAAGTAATTGTGTTTCAGGAAAGTCAGCCAGCAAGCACACACCAAGAGGATGCTGCAACTTAGCATCAATACCAACACCATCTACATCTCCAAAAGCAAAGAGATTCTACAAAAAAAAAAAAAAATCAAAATCAATAATATTGACTTTGGATCGATCACATGGGCAACAAAACAAAAAAACAAAATTTTTTTTTCTAGACACATTAAATTTTTTTTATTGAAATTATTGGCTTACCTAAAAAGATCATTTCATTTTTGATTTGATTGGTTAATTTAATGACATATCATCCTTGTTATATTATTTAATGTCAAATATAAGTTTTATAGAACAAAAATCAGAAATTAATAGATTGGTCAAAATAGGTTCAGTTTGCACCATAGTCAAAATGAGAGACACTGGCCTAGTTTATACGAAAGTCTGCAAGTATTCACCCAGAAGGTGGCCTTGTTCCATGGGGAGGGGGTCTTACTTTTCTAACTTTCCTGTCGGGAATGCAGTGTATTCTACACCCTGTCAACAAGGTAATTCTATTTTTGAAATGTTGGCATTAGTAGCATTTAGCATTAACTTAATTCAAAAAGATTGCTTTCGTCTTGTAGCAGCTATAATGTTTGCATGCTTTTTTTTTGTTATGACTCCTTTTACTTACTCCTGTGTCCTACATTGCTGAAATTTCATGCATATAACAATCAACCGGCACAAATTGAAACATTTTACATTGCCGTAAAGTATCCACTTTTCATTGTCTGTTAAATTTTTTTTCAAAAACAGAACATTTAAATATGATCTGGTTGTTTTTTTCTTGCTTATATGGAAATCACACATCAAGTTAGCAAGCATAACAAAACTTGTGCATATAATTTTCAATATTTGTGTAGAATTATCCCACCTTGTCTGCTCAAAAATGCTCACTAGGTGGTGCTGAATAAACAAAAAGTAATTTTAATCATTTAAAAAAAAATGTCAAAATGCAATATACTTGTAGAAAATTCAACTACAATAGCCTCATCCACATGTATAAAAAAAATGCTAAAAATAATGGAAGCATTATTGATAAAAAAGAAAAAGCCAACACTTAATAATATCAACTATGAACACGGCCACAATGTGCTGACCGTGTTTGGAAAATAAAAATCATTCCTATAACTCTAAATACATACAAAAAAATAATCCATACATCCAGTTAAAAATAAAGATCATCCTTGGCTAAAATGATAGCTGAAAGTGCATGGACATAGAGAACATTCAGACAATTTTTACATACTTTATGTGCAAAAAAGAAAATCATATGAATATAAGAAAAATTAAATCGCTGTACTTTGTCGGTCATCTTCAATGAAACATGTACAAAAGAGGGATTGCTACCCAAATATACAAATTTTATATATATATATATATATTTAATGAAAAACAGACCACTTTAAGGTACCATTACAATAATTTATTTCACCAAAATCCTTTTTAAAGGACTCCAGATCATCAGGTAACAATTCCAACAATGAAATGAAAGGAAAAGTGGGATTAGAAATTGACAGGTAGTGTAATTTTTGTAATTTAACGGGGAGGGGGGGGTGAGAGTTGTAGTTAAAGAGACAAGGTAGAGTATAGGGAGGGGTTAATTTCATATCTCTCTTAAGCATGCTTTATATTGGGGTAGGAGGAGTGACCGAACCTTGACCTATTTAGAAGGTTAACTTAACGGAAATGATATATAGGAATGGGAGGGGAGAAAAGAAAAGGAAAAAAGAGAGAGGAGACAGACGACAGTAATACCGATATATCCAAATGAGTGTTACGGCAAAGAGAGAGGTGGAGAGGGAAGTGAATCGAAAGAGGCTGTAATTTTGTTTTAATAAAATTATGTAAAAGATAGATTTCAATGTTTGATAGAAATTTAGATGTCTAAAAAATGATGAATGTTATCAATTTAAACATTTAATTTTTTAAGTAAATAGTTTAGGGACTTAATATAAGTTAACTACTATTTTTATTAGTACATTTATTGAGAACATATTAAAGAAATATTTAAAATTATAATAGTTTATTTACCCGACCAATTGTACTTCCATAATATTGTAAAAAAATTTTGATAAATAAATATATATATATATATATATATATATATACATACATACATACATACATACACACACACACATGCTGAAGAAATCAGATGTCTAGTCACACTGAAGAGCTGTGATACAGCGAAACAGTCTGCCTGTAGATGACTGTATATATGCTCTTGGGAAATCCATTTGAGCTCTGGAGAAAAGGGTAATTTTAAGAACTGTGGATCCTACTGCTATTAACGCATTTCCCTTCAACTATGAATTGATATATACATATATACTGGCATATCTTGTTTAGAAAACATTAAAATTTCCCTTTCTCTTTGCTGTGCAATGATAGCCTAGGGGTAGGATCTCTCACTGATGCCAAATCAGTTGGGTTTCAAACCCAGCTTGAAGCAATCAAACGTTTAGTGACACTGAAGAGCTGTGATACAACAAAACAATTTGTTTGTGGATTACATATATATATATATATATATAGAAAAGTTTCAAATTGAAAATTATAATGTTTTATTTTATGAAAGTATTTATTTATTTATATATATATATATATATATTTGATATTTCAAATTGTCCTCAATTTTTCATCAGAAATAACTGTTTGTTACAAATAAATTAAAATTACTGTTTGTTAGCAAGTAGCGTCCTTCAAGAAGACGCGGACGTCACATGATATGGAACGTCACTGTTCGGATATTCCTAACTTAAATCTAACTGTCATAAATATTTAAAAAATTTTTTACTATATCTAAAAAAATTGCTTAACTATTGAAATATTTATAAAGATTTAAAAACACCTAAGTCCCTATTCAACCCTAGTTTATGTGTATTTAATTTTAAAATCCAATATGTTTCTTTTTTTTTCTGCGTGTGAATGTGGAAGTAAAATCGAATCTATTAATAAACATTTGCAGTTTTCTAATGTGTGTCCTGATTGATTGTAGTGTTTAGCTATGGGGGAATAAGGGTTGTTTTGACGTATTGTTTGTTTATGGTTATTAAAACGAAATCTAAAATTGTTTCCAGACTCACCAATATATCCACTATTAGGACATAAGTTGCAGAATAAATAATAGATTACATTATGGGTATCGCAGGTGAGGTTAGGTGGCTGTATTCTGATATTGGTGTTGGGTACGGAAAATGTATTAGCTATTATTAAATGTTTGCAAACTAAGCAACGAGGTTTGTTACATTTGTAATTTCCTGTTTGGTTTCTATTGTTTAGATATTTGGTAGAGGTGAGGATAGCTGATAAGTTAGGTGATTGTTTCATTGTTTTTATGGGTGGTTTATCGAAAATGTCTTTGATCTTGTTGTCTAATTGGAGGTTCTTGTAATCATTTTTTAAATTGTGAATAAGTGTGTGGGAATATTGATTGTGGTTAAAAACCATGGGAATCCGATTGTTGTTTTATTTTTCTTGTATGTGAGAAGTGTGTTGCGATTTATCAGGATAGTTTTATTTAGTGCTTCTTTTTATTATTTTTATTGGGTATTTGCATTTTAGGAATTGTTTTGTTAAGTTATTAATGTTGTATAGAAAATCTAAATGGTCTGAGCATATCGTTTGATTCTTAGAAATGAGCTGTATACAATAGATTTTTTTAATTTAAAGGGATGACAGCTGTTAAAGTGCAGGAATTTATGTTGGTTTGTGGGTTTGTTGTATAGACTGGTAGAAAGTGTATGTTTGTTTAATTTTATCATAACGTCTAAGAAAGGGATGGATGTGTATGAGTGCTCCATGGTAAATATAATTGTATCGTGGAAATTATTGCAGAAAGTGAAAAAGGTTTTTAATTTTTCTGATCCATGAGTCCATAGTAAGAAAATGTCATCAATATATCTAAAGTAATGTGATGGTTTATATTCTGAATTGTCTAGTATCTTCTTTTCTAGAATGTGCATAAAGATATTAGCATAACTAGGTGCCATTTTTGTGCCCATTGCTGTGCCACTAATCTGTAAATAGTGTTTGTTGTTGAATTTAAAATTATTATGTGTTAAGATGAAATTTATTAATTGGCATATATCTGTAATTTGGTAGTTAGGTAATTTTTTGTTACTAAGGAACTCATAGCAAGCTGATACTCCTTCAACATACTCCTTATTCCCCCATAGCTAAACACTACAATCAATCAGGACACGCATTAGAAAACTGCAAATGTTTATTAATAGATTCCGATTTTACTTCCACATTCACACGCAAAAAAAAAAAGAAACATATTGGATTTTAAAATTAAATACACATAAACTAGGGTTGAATAGGGACTTAGGTGTTTTAAATCTTTATAAATATTTCAATAGTTAAGCAATTTTTTTTAGATATAGTAAAAAATTTTTTTTTAAATATTTATGACAGTTAGATTATCCGAACAGTGACGTTCCATATCACGTGACGTCCGCGTCTCGCGAAGGACGCTACTTGCTAACAAACAGTTATTTCTGATGAAAAATTGAGGACAATTTGAAATATCAAATATATATATAAATAAATAAATACTTTCATAAAATAAAACATTATAATTTTCAATTTGAAACTTTTTCTATATATACATATTAAGAAAGTATACGTGGCTTCTCATTATGCTATATATATATATATATATATATATAAATATTATATATAAAATTAGGTGTAATATAGCTTAGAAAAGGAGGTAAATATATATTTATGGGATTAGCAGTAGTAGAGATGTACATGGCCTTTGCTGGGTGGAAGGTTTTTAAGACTGAAGTCAATGGACAGGGCAGAGGGTTATCCCAATGCAATCAAGACATATATCCGTGACCAAGGCAATACTTCAAGTTGGAGGATATTGAGCTCTGGAGAAAAGGGTAATTTTAAAAACAGTGGATCCTACTGCTATTAACACATTGCTCTTCAACTATGAATTGAGCTCTACTGGCTACTGGTATATTTTGTTGAGAAAACATTAAAATTTCCTGGAGAGAAATGGGCTTTGCCAGATCTACTTGTCGAAGACACAATATGCATGAATATCAACTCAGATATGTGGTGTGAGAACT